TTCCTGTTCTCAGTTGGCATAAACTATACCACACGTAAATGAACCTGATGCAACCCACCAAATGTCTGGGTAGCCTTTCCATGTCCAACTCTTTCTCACACCTGAGTCCTGCACCTGACCCACTCGCAGCCATTTCCATGAGTGCCTTGCATCATGCTTTAAGTCCAAAATGTTCCAGCAAGATCTCTGTTGTGAATTTCTCTCATTAAAAACTTCCTCTGGCTTCATAAACATGTTTTTCATTTTGTGTGTGATGTGGATCTTAACATTCATAGTCAAAGCTGACTTCTGGGATAGACAAGGCGAAACTTGTTTTAACTACAGTCAGATGCCTCTGAAATTGGAAACAGTGTTCTCCAAGGTCAGCTCCTCATTAGTAAAGCAAAACATTTTTAACTGCTGGCTTAAGCAATTTGAAAGCAGATCCAAAGCCGGACTACATTTCAGGATTACTCAAGGAAACAGAGGAAATGAACCATGTAAATTCTTTGTCAAACATTTTTTTTACACTCTTCAATTCTATTTTAAGGTTCAACATCTGCATGGAAGCCTTAACTTGGTTATGTTTCTTCAGATCTTCTGCGGAAATATAATAATTTTGGTACAGGTCCAGAAACCAACCCTAGCTTCAACAGGAAATCAAATTTGAAATCCTAATTACTTGTTTCTTTTTGGACAGAGCAGTCACTGAAAGGACAGCTCTGAGGAGTTCAAAAGAGCTTAGACGCAGCTGGCATACAGTCAGCTACAGCTTCCCCTTCTCTGCAGTATTTGATTTTATTTTTGAATTCTGCCAGGCACGAGTCTATTTTTAAAGCTGTTTGCGTTTTCTTTCCTCCTCCTTTAAGAGATACATATATATTGGCTAGGCAGCCCCTTAGAGATTTTCCATAAAATAATACCTGACCTCTCTCAGTCAGATGTTCCAGCAAACAGAAGGAAAAGAGCTTGCTCAGCAGAAGAACCATAATTAGCATATACTGTGATAACCCTCAGCCCTTCTCTAACCTGCTGGCTACACAGCACGATTTCCTTGGGATTTTTGTTTGGTTTGCTTTTAGGCAGAAGTGTAATATTACTGAGAATCACCAGATGGCATTGCTGCAGATAACTTTGATATTTCTGTTTACCTGACTGTACAGAGGATAGATACGGAGAAAATACTGAAATCCAGTGCAAAGTTTTTACTGATGTTACTACTCAAGTTCTTTTACAGAGATGCCATTTTCAAATTAAACATATCCAACCTCAGTTATACATTTGTATTGCATATGCTAATAATGCCCGAGTCCTCATAATGTGATAAGGTTTGTTTGCAGCAAATGCGCATGGCCACACAGATATGGTTTAGAAACACAGACGCAAGAAATGTAGGAGAAATGTTCTTTAGACTACATTAAAATTTCATTTCTTCCTAATTACTGTGTTAAGTTCATTGAAATTATTTACAGACTTCTAAAATTGTTAAAAGGCTACCTGTTTAGTGACTGAATCTGTTGATCGAAGCATTTCAGCTATAATGGTTGCATCTGTAAATAACCTGGAATCACATCATGTAATAACTCACAGCTCACTAAATTCCTCTGAAGATACCAAATGACATGGGTGGTAATTTTTAGTGCAGACTGTGGTATGTAACATATGTCAGCACTTCAGAGCTTCTGTAGCTCACAGCCTGCACAGCCTGCTCCAAGGAATGAGCTCTGGCCAGTGCAGGCTGCATCTGCCTCTGAAGGTACGATGCTGAGTGAGCAAATACAAGGCGGAATGTAACTTCAATTGCTTAGCTTTCAAGTCATGATGAAATTGTGACATAGCACTTAATTTCTATTTCTATATGAAGTGGTAAGATAGTATTTTCTCTCCTTCGTTTCAAACTTCTTCATTTTAAAAGATGATAAAACATGATTTCACATGCAAGATTGCCTAAATACCTTCCAGCTACAGGCAGAAATGTCACTTTGGTGAGGTTAGGATTTTTCTCCCCACTCAGTATAACATTTTATCCCATTGATCACAACAGGTTTGTGCCTACAACCCCAATTTTATACTCGGGCTTGGTTTCAGCCATATGCCAAGGTCACCAGTTGGGCAATCATCCGTGGCTGAGCTCTGTGCCACAGCTACTATATTAGCACTGGATTTATAGTTATATTGAGAACATTCCCAGCTATGCCACTAGAGATGTATCCTAATTTCAGAATCAAACCCCCAAAACTATGTGGCAAAAAGGAAATTAAAACCTGAGGCTGTGACTACTGTAGCATAGGCTGACAGGCAGAGGTAAGCGTGATGTTTCTCCATAGTCGGTGATTAATATTTTTACCCAGATGCCTTGGAAAGCTGTGGGTCATTGCTCTGGAGGAATAATTCGGAATCCAGTGGTCAGGCAGCTGTCTTGTCTTTTCCATCATCATCAAGTTGGCATTTTCCTGGGCTTCTAGCCCAGGTCAAAGAAATTCCCAGTATCAGTGTATGATCACAGATTTCTACATTAGTGAATGAAAAGGCAAATCACAGAGGGAATTGCTAATGTTTATGAAAGGAATCTTGCTTGGTTAAAAAGTCAAAGGTGTTTTTGGAGCAGGAGAACAGTTCTCTCATTTGGGGATATTAAATCCACAGTTTAGATCATAACTGCCTTTATGTCTCCCATGAAACATTTGAAATACCACCTCAGTGGAGAGGAGTATGATATACCGTTCTCCTGTCTACACATCTTCCTAGCTGTTGTGCCGTTTCCAATTTTATTGAAGCAGATATTAACAGAAACCATCAATGATACCTTTCATGTTTCTCTTCTGTGAGCCAGCCAGAGCCAACAGCAAGGTAGACATATAGATGCTTTTGGATGGAGTTAATTCAGCTTTAATCCCCATTAAATGGATACTGGTATGTAAGTTAGGTAGTAAAAGAGACAAGCTGCCTGAAACTCTAACAGTGTAAGAGATAGGCCCTTGGGAGCCTGAGAATTAAAAAATGAGAAAGATAATTCTGTAAAATTCCCATGGCAGAAAATATATACCTACAGCAGTCTTTAAATGCCTCTATGGATGTCCAAAGAGAGGGCTGCAAATTGCTTTGCTATCTGCATTTTATATAGGGGACATATATATAGGAACAGTAACCCAAGACAGACCCACTGGATTACACTATTGAATAACATAGCTTTGTTCATATGATTTTTTAATAAAGCCAGCAATCCAGAGAAGAGATCAGGCCTCTGTTTGTGGTTGTACTACAAAAAAGGAACATAAACATGAGACAGTTTACAATAATGATTTTCCTCTTCTTAGTTTTCCAGTGGTTTGGGTTGATACACAGAGCCAACCTTCTCTATTTATACATCATCATCCCCAAACACAGGCATAATTTTTCTGAGTGTCAGAAACAACATCTCATATGAAAATAAGAAAAAAATCTCTCTTCTGTATTAATTAATTAAAGATTAAAGTTATTTTTATAAAGGAAAAGTGTTAACAAATCCATTCTCATAGAACTGATAAACCACTCTGAGATACCCAAATTGATCTAACAAAGGTCAATGCACACTGAAAAACCCCTGAGAATTCCCATCCTTCAGCTTTTGCCTCAGAATACGTTTGACACAAGCTAATACCATACATGAAGCAATATATACCTCATTTAAATCCTGTCTTTGTGGTGTGGTGCAAACCCTGCATGCACTCAAGAACTACTTTTGTAGCAGAAATGTTGTCATATGAATACTGTTTCTTAAAGGTTAGTGATTTTGATGAGAACTGCTCTGCATCATTTTTTGAAAAAGCTTTGATGTTTGTGATGTACTTGACAACGTATTTCTAACAGTACTTAAACATGTTACTTTTAGAAAAATCATGACTTAAGCTGAACATTTTTAGTGAAAGGACTGAAAGTGTCCTTTGATGACATAAAGCAACTGACAAGCATCTTTAGAAAAGACTGGAGTGAGAGATGAGAACTTACAAGGTATAAACAACTGCACCTCTGAGATAACACACAAAAAGGTGAAAGTTTTTAGTGTATAGAAAACAGAAATTAAAGAAGCAACTGGGAAAAGAAATAGTAGGTGTAGTGAAATACTTATACTAGTTAATATTAGTCATGAATATGGATAGTACATGAATAGTCAATGAAACTTGTGTAAAGAAGTAGAATGGATGCAGAGAAGTCAAAAGAAAGAGGCTCTTTCTCATCCTCCCACAGGGAAAAGCACGCACATGTAATGGTTCCTGCCTCTTGCTTTCCTGAATGACAAGGCAGATTTGGATTTTGGTTTCCGACTTGGTTTTCCTCCCCCTTAAGCACTGCTTTTGGTGACAGAATCTGTAATTCATTATGGTGATTTCCAAAAGAAAAGCAACCTCAAACATTAAAAGGAAGGTTTCTAAGTCTCATATTTAGAGCAAAACCTCTCTGTCTTGCAAGGCTTGAGTAATTTCAACTGCAGAAAGAGTAACAGCAGGAGGTGAACATGCAGCTTTTGACCTCCAGACCTCTTCTTCCCTTCCTCATTCTCACCTCTGAGATATGGCCTAAAGAGCTGTAACAGTCTCTTTGAGACATTAAACAACACATTCGATAACTTGTAATTTTTAGAAAAGACAAAGATCACCTCATCTTTGTAGGAAAACACAGCAGAGGGACCTGTACTCTGGTAAGAGCCATCAGAGACGCTAACCCAGAACCTTCTTGTTCAGCCTTGTCGAATTGTGATTGCTCTTTTGGGGAGGAGAACAAGAGGAGACGTGACCTTGGACTTCCCTTCTGTATGCTTTTAGCTTAGAATAAATAAGATGGGATGTAGGAGGCACCAGAATTGCATCAGACTTGATCAGTGCATAGTTTTAGGCTGATTAGTCTGTCCAGTTCCCTAGTGAAAAACAGACTCTCTTGTGGGCTTGGTGTCTGATAGAGAGGAGATAACTGTTGATCTGATGGAACTTCACAGAAAGGTACCTTCCCCTTCCACCACCCCTCTGGTTCCTTTTGTTACTCACCAGTACTGCTCTGGATGGTCCTCACCGTGGTGGTTGTACGTGGGGGAGATGAGGACCGCAGTGATATACACTCGTCATCCTGAGAACAGCCCTTCTCAATGGCCCTGACGTAGCTGTGGCTCCTCATGCGGAAGCAGCCCGGCATGGGCAGATCCAGTGCCTCCACTGCCTGAGACTCGAGTTCACTGAACACCGACTCACAGACGGATTCAAACTGACCGTTCACCTCCATCTCACTCACCTGCAGGCAAACACAGAGCAGGTTCAGTACATCTCATACTCTCACAAGCTATGGTGGCACAATGGCAAGCATCAGCTAGAAGATCCCTTCACACATGAAGAAACGGTGAATGCCACATCCCATTCTACAAAGCAACAATAGTTAGGGGGGAAAAAAAGAGGAGACAAAGGTGTTAGGCAGAGATTCAGCAGACTTCAGGCTCTTGGTTTCTCCTGAGACTGGTGGGTATCTGGGATTCCTCATGAAGAGTGTCTGATGAGCAGCATCTGGTTTGTTACCCTAGGACCACAGCAATGGTTGAACCTTTGGCCATTATGATCATTACATTGAAAAAAAAATAATCATTCATACTTTCTTTGAGGAATGAGGAAAAAACCCCAAAGGTCAGTTTAACCAGTACACAATCAATGCAACCCACAGGCAATCACAGTGACAAACCTGAAGGCCTGGGAAACTCAAGGGTAAAAGTGACAACAGACAGTTGGGAAAGGAAGGCTGAGAAGGGACCAAGTTTGCTGCAAGGGCAAAATGTGTAATTACATCTCTAACTGAAAGCAAGAGATGCAAGGGAATCCTTAGACCCTTTGGAGCAGACAGTAGGTGGTGACAAAGACTTGCACTCACGCAAGTTACAAAACATTCAAAAGCATGTGGCCTTGCTGCATGTCTTACAATCCTGGAAACCATTTACCTCAGCTTCACTGGTAATGGATGCGCATGTTTCTAAACTGAGCTTGGCATGAAAGCACAATAATTATCACTATATGAAATGTGCATACAGAAACCACTACTTGAGGATTTTGTTAGTTTTCAAGCATGCCAAAGGCCAAGACAGCAGAAGATAAGGCTATGTTACAGTGGTAGAAAAAAACTTAGAAATTCTTTTCCCAGATTAACTTTATCAAGAAAAATGTTATGCTGAGCATTTGCAAGCATAACTGAAAAGAGAAGTCTCAGGGTAGAGCACAGTTTTTAAAGGGACTCTACTTAAAAGAGCATGGAAAAGTAATAGCATATCATACAGAACAATCTTACCATGGTGCAGAATAGCCATATCCCCAAATAAACATCTCTGAATTAATGCTTTTTTTAAAAAAACAAACCCAAACAACAAACTTCTTCACATTGTCAAATGATGCTCAGTCTTTGGCAGACAGCTTTGTCTAAGTGTTAGGTGTAAACTAAGTAGGTCACCTAACTTAATGTTCATATAGTTGCCTTGAAGACTTGAATTTCATTGGTCTTCCTCTTAGATACATCTTGACCCTCTTTCTAGAGCATCACCCCATAGCCTATGCAAAGTGCCTCACTATAAAATACACAGGTGAATATTCTGAAGTTTCAGTGTCCAAATATAGAATACTGCAGAAATTCAAACTACAGATCCATTCTGAATGGCACATATATTTGCTATGGCTATAGCTAAAGTCCTGGCATCAAAGATGCCACACACTTTTTTTGACATTGTAGTGACTTGAGATGCCAATAATAAGGGGGCAGTATCTGGCATCACAAATCCTGCCTGCTGTACTTCTGGACTAGTGAAAGAAAGTACTTTTATCCAAATGATTAATCCAAATGATCCACTTGAGGAAACTCATACCAGGGAGCTACAGAATTTAGCAAATTAACTACTGGCCCACTGCCCTGTGGAGTGCTTCTGCATTTCTTCCTGATCCAGATTCCTGCCCAACTCGATTGTACAAACATCTATGCAAGGACAGGCTATTTTATGGTGCTAAAGCTCATAAACTGAATGTGTTACAAGCTCATAAACTGAATGTGTCACAGCAGGCTTATTTTTTCCTCTAGTTTAGAATTAACATGAAGAGGTCTCATAGGATTTCAGAGCAAAAAATACGAACAGATCGTTGCACTTTATATACTGCAACATTTGTACTATACAGGTGAAAAGTTCAGAGGTGCCCAAGGTTAAGAATGCACACAATAGCATAAAGAAAGCTCTAAAATGTCTAATGAAATACTAATAGAATTGTGAAATACAGAATACTACAGACGTAATTTTTCTTCAGCTTGTGAACTGGGCTTTTGGGAGGCATTCCAAAAAAAGTGATTTGAAGTACCAGGCACAAGACCCTTAAAAGAACCCTGTTTAAAGACACTGTTGATGAACACCTGCTTTGGATAAAGAAAAATAAAAAATTACACTGCTCCTTCAAAGAAACTGCATGCTGTGCCACTCATCTATTTGCAAAGGGCAGGTTATGGCATTATCAAATGTTACCCTCTCACAAACAAGACTGTGTGAATACACTCCTGATTTCTTCAATACATTATGAAAATGTGTGGCATGGAATGGCCTTGTTCCACATTAAGCAAAATCGAGTTTCTCTTATTGCAAAGGCTTGGTCAGTAGCTGCTCTCCAGGCCACAGTGGGTGCCTGTCACTCACCTGACTGATGGTGCTCATGGCTCTCATGTAGCTCTCGTTGCGGGAGCGGAACTTGGGGGATGTCAGCAGCCCTGCTGGGTCCAGGCTGTCCAGGCTCCTGTTGATGGAGACTTCACTCACTGCTCTCAGGTAACTGTGGCTCCGGATCTGAAGCTTCGGCGAGTGTTCACTGGATATCCTGGGAGATGTGGGGAAGGAGATAGAAAAAAGGTATTTCATGAAATCCAAATGGCCTCACCAGGAGCAAGAATAACCAGGTATTTTTCACTGGATCAGCAAGACCTGAACAAGTCATTACACAGTCTCTGTATATTTACAAAGTAAGGATAATGTCAGTGCTGTTATTTGTATTGCCACACCTGTTTATTTGGTGGGAGGAAGAGAAAAGGAAGGAAAGGACTTACTTTTTGTAAACCTTGTTTTTGGTAAACTGTGCCTAAGGAGAATGGCAAAATAACTTCCATTTTATTTAGAAACAGCTGCATGGAAAATTTTTACACTGTACTGACAGTAGCAGCAATCAGGTGCAGCAACGCCCCTCACTGTGTGGGACTTTCGAAATGACAACACTGAAATGATTTCACGTGTTGGTTTTAAAAGAATAAACAGAGCCACTGAGGTGAGTGCAGTGGAGGAAAGCCCTCTGTCCTTAGAGAGTTGAATGTAGCAACCACCAAAACAGCTGGGAGGCGGGTAAAGAAAGAAGCCTGGTACTAATACTGGCTGAGTGATTCCAAAGACATCAGCTGAACATCCATGTCTTGCAGTGCAGTTGGTGGGAACGGTAGGGGCTCTATTCCTCTAAGGGGTTATTTCTCTGAGGAAACCTGGCGCTGAACAGACCTGATGGTGCTGTGACTCTGACGCCCATGTACGTACCAATCTCATGGGAATGCTTCTTAGGGAGCTTTCAAGAGTGTACGGGCCAATAGGGTAGGCAGGTTATACACAACATGCAAAATGCACTTGTAGAACATTTTAACCTGGGAAACCACTCCAAGAACTTGGGGCATCTGGTGAGGTTTGACGTGCTCTAAAATTTTATTCCTGCTTAAGCTGTAAGTTGAGAAAATGTAAGCTGGGGAAGTAGCTTTACAACGCTGATGTCAAATTAGAAGTTTAAAAACCACAGTGGTGTGTCTGAAGTGATTACTTTCTCCATCTTTACAACACAACTGACAGATAAAATGTACAAGTAGTCCCAAACAAACCAACCTCCCACATAGGTGAGGTGTACAAACTGCACTGCTCCTGCCATATATGCTTAGAGTCAGCTAGCAAAGGCTGTAATGTGTAGAAACAATCCTCCACCTGTGGGATGGTTTATCACCTGAAAGTGCTGGCTAGGTGCTGTCTTCATAGTCACAGGCATCCTATAAAGATGTGTCACAAAAAGTGATCCACGTCATGCCTTTTATGCAATACAATTAATTTTGGGGACATTCTTTTTGAAGCAATTAAACAGTGGATAAAGTATTGAAAGGGTGGTTCTTCAATATATTTAATGAAATATCCTTAATATTCTCTAAATATTATAAAGCAAATATTTAAAATATTAACTAAATTTTCCATTTTAAAATGTAGATCTTATAGATGTTTGTTGGTATATGAAAGAAAAACCTGTAACCTAATTTCAAGCCTAATCTTGGTCCCCTAGTTTTAGCAATACATACACAGATGACCTGAAAGAAGAGAATTCATTTTACGTCTAATTCCTCAAGCATTTGCAGACATCTTGTATTCAAGTAGCTAATGATGGTAATTAGTATGAGCAATTTCCCAGTGGCATGCACAATTCTGGTAATTGTCAATGTATTTTAGGAGGACAATTCCATTGTGTAATTGCACACCTAAGTAGTTCAGAAACTGGGTCTGTTTCTGAATGGTACAATATGGTAATAAAATCTAGGCCATCTCTACAATACCAATCATACAATACTCTGGCTCCTAATTATCTGCCTAATAAAAATATGTAAACTTATGCTGATTACTTGATATTCTTGTCACAAGATGAAGACAGAGCCTTTTCCTGCCATTTTCACTACGTGTACGGTGCAATACTCACAACAGCCATATTCATACACTCGGACTCCTTATGCCATTTGATTCCACATGACAAAAGTAGGTTTTTAGATATCATTATTAGCAGTGTTCCAAACAACTCAAAAAAAAAGGAAGAGAAAGTGATGAAAAAGTGACCATTAATAATGGTTAGCTACAACCTTTTGGTAACTAGCATTAACCATGAAACTCTTTGAAAAAACCCCAAACTTCTTGTCTGTTATTGGATAAAAATATACAGAAAAAAATAAAAAAGAAAATAGAATGAATAATTCAAAAGACATAATGTTGCAGATGCACGCAAGCAACTTCACCACCCTGCAGATCTGTAAACTGATAAGCATTGACTGAAATGCATTTCTTGAATTAATTCAAAATGTATTTTATGAATATGATCTAAACAGTTTGCTGCCAGTATGTGACATACAAAATTCACATATGCTTGATAAGCAGCCAGTCAAATACATCACCTGGGGCTTGTTGCTGTTCACTGATTAGCTGAGCTCACAAGGAGAATGCAGCACATCATGAAATTCAGTGCACAGATATTGCCAGACAGAAATTTGCAAGTGCTGAGGCAGGCACCTTTTAAATACTGGAACCAGTATAATAAGCTGCAGCTACCCATAGCAGCAAGATTTTGCTGTAGCAGCCAGAGTACAGATCAGATGCTCTGTCATAGGAAGCCAACAAAAAAGGTATAAAAATTCATTTCAATATGCATTAGTGTTGCACAACTTTTTCCCAACTCTGGAAACAAGGGCCTCCACCCATGAGGGCAAATGTTTCCCTCTTGTTACAGACATGAGTGGTCAGCACAGCTGCCTTCTTTTTCTTTATGCTTGTGACTGTACAACTGTCCAGCTTGGCACACATCTAGAACCACATTTTACAGGTGTCCACTTGTCTTAGCTTCCCATCCATTGTATAAAACTGACTACGATATTGGCAGCTGTTGGAGGAGGTGGCTCCTTGCTTACTGATTGCTACAATCCCTGTTTCACTGGAAGTAATGATGGGGAAAAAAAAGAAAAGAAAAGAAAAGAGAAAAGAAAAAGATTTTAAAGCTTAGACAATGAAATACTCGAAGTTTGGCATTTATACTACTGCTTTTATAGCTGTGTAATAAATTGTCACTGTGTGCTCCAGTATACCTCAATGAACAGCTGTAATGCCACTGGAAATTTTTAAAACATTCAGCTTAGGAATAAATCTGACTATGTATGACAGGGAAGAGCTGAATGTCTAATTTATTTTCTCAGAGTTGCTATTACCATTAACCTGTACATGAAAATATTCTTTTCTTCCTTAAGGGTTTAACTACATCTTCCTATCCTGCATTACTTAAATTTCTTTTTGTGCCATCATGATTTCCACAACTAAATACAACAGGGGACTGAAAGTTTGAGACAGTGCTTTGGCTAATCCAAAATGATCTGTTAGCTCCACTCACTGCACTGGATACGTTAACTGGCAGGAGGATGCATATTATTAAAGATCTTGAACAAACTCCTCAAGCATACTGCATCATTTCTGTGCTGCAGTGCCTGACAGTGTGACATGCGATGAGTACTGTAGGGTAGTCCTGAGCTCAGTGCCAGAGCTCCTTCAGAGAAGCTTATACATAGCTCATCCTTACTGCTATAAGAGAGATTTTGTTTGGGATGTATAACAGTTAGTCCCTTGTGGGGTACATAATGTTGGTTGAAGCAGCATTCATGGAGCTTGCAGCAGGCATGGGAAGCCAAGTGTGCTTTGGGGCTGGGATGTCCCAAAAGGTAGCACGCTGCATTTACAAGAGTTGTGTCCCCAAACCAGCTGCACCATCCTTTTCCCCATATTGCTGCTGCCCTTGTCCCAGGCCTCACCCCAGAGTAGGACAGCATAGCCACAACAGCAACACGTTGATAATGCATGGGGCTAGATGTGATTCCCAAAAACCACAGGCAAGAGTCACGGCAAGAGAAGATGAGGCCTTTAGGTTTCTGCCACTCTTGAGGCCAATCCCCTCAGGCAAATCCAAGGGGATTTACCAGAAAAGGAGCCAGAGGTGAGATTGGTTGAAAAGGCATCTGCCGAGACCCAGCAGAGAGATAACAGCTCTGCTGGTAAAGAAAGGCAACTGCCTCTGATACACACTGTGCCTCAGGGCAGTTTGAGGTACCCTTTTGGACCAGACACAGTATAAAAAAGTGTTACAGTGAAAAGTAGTCCAAAGACAGTATTGTCTTCTGTGAGTTCAGCATTCAGACTCATAGTACAAAGCCCAGTGTTGTGCCAGATGGGCACTATGCCCTGCCAAAGGAAAATGACAAAGCAGAATAAAGTGAAAGTCCAGAAACATGTCCTGAATACTCCCGTAAGCCAGTAGAGGGATATGCTAAAATTTGCCTTCAAACAAACAGGAAGAATCCAACAGCACACCACACAAAACTCAAACCCAAGACAAAATAAACCTCAAAACCACCACTGTTGCTAAATATTTCAGCTCTCACTTCAGTAGCCTACAACGGACAGCTTAGTTCCCTGGGGCTTAATTATCCTTGGCTGAATGCCCCACCTCCAGCATGGCTGGTGGGCAACATTTCTGTGCTTAATTTTATTTGCATTTTCGTGTTGCTAGAAGCCAGGACAGTCTGTCACAAGGAAAACACTGAAGGACATCAGAGAGGAATACATATAGAACAAAGTCATTCAAGTGCATCTGTCTGATCCTGGTCATGATATGGGTCACCGGGCTTGGGTAATTTGATCATGCTGGCACATGCTTTTTCAGTGCAATGAACATAAAGCTGTCGTGCTACTGACACACAGGGCAGCACATCAACAGTTTTGAGCATTCTTCCCACTCATTAGGGATTTTTCTGGGTTTTGAAGATCTCCTTTTCTGGTTTTGTTTACAATCAAATGAACTTCCTCATGGGGTTTTCCTATCTTAAAGCTAAAAAAAATATATAATAAAACATCTCTTCAAGCCCTTAATGTGCTGCTAGAGTCGAGTCAGAGAAAGAAACATCCAAAACTTGGAGACAGCCAGAAAAAGCTCAACTTCTGAAGAGCAATTAGTTATTATTAATATAATAATAATCAGCAAAACATTGATATTTGCTTCCTTTT